TTGTCATTTAATGCATACTTAATTGTATAACTATTTGTGATAAACATTTTCCTTTATGTTAGTGCAATAATAAAAAGTTATTAAATACTAATTGGATGAAGCCTGTGGAACATAAAGGCCTTGCAAAAGAATTATAAAGTTGTTATAATTATAAGATCACTATGCATCAAAGCCATGTTTTTAAAATTGTTCCTGATCATTGTATTGTTAAGACAAAGCATTGACAATACTCAAAGACTGGTACATGTTAAGCCTTTTTACTTGGAAAGTAAGAAATCGATCTCATAAATTAAAGTATATAAGATGTTTGAGGATAACATGTAAGTACTTATTAAAGAACAAGTTCACTGAACATGATCCGTTATGAGAACTCTATTTGGTATTTCACTTATTTGTTTATGAAATATGTTCTCATGTAATAGTCGTTCAACTAGTCCTTGGACTTGAGACACCAGGTCATCTTGTATGGAAAATGACATACTTTGATTTCACCTCTACAAGTCTGAAGGAGACCAGATGCCTAAATAAAGTGTTTTTGGATATGCCCTGAAACATGTAAAGGTGAATGAGTAGTCAAGAAAGGATTCATCACCTCAAGTTATATGAGGGGATGTATCTAACTTGTTCTCAATTCTTGATTAACTTATATAAAGTCTTTGATCAAAGCTTGATGAATTTGAGGAAAGTTAGTTTTCAAAATTCATAAGTTTAGTCATGAATTATGAAAACTAATATGGAATGTTATAAGTAGACATTGAGCCATACTTTATAACTAACTTTATAACATATCTAGGATACTTAATAAAAGAATCATATTGCACTGAGAGACTTATCACTCAAGAGCTTTGTCAAATTCTTTAATCGACTCTCTAACATTTGCATGGTCATGATGTATTGGTAGATACCACTATGATCTATAAATATAAATCTATTAGTAAATTGATATTTAACTAGGATTTTTATTTATTCCTTACATGTTAGAAGCGTAATGAGTTATGCACATTAAGTGACATGATTGAGATTAAATAAGAATGATCAATTAAGTTGGACCTAATTGGAATAGATCAAAATAAAATGAGAAATTAATTAAGTTCACAAGGACTTAATTGAATTAAACTATAACTGTTATATTTAGGATTACAATTTAATTTGGCTATATAAATATGTTATGTTAGCAAACTATACAATTTAATCTATTAAACTAAGTTAAGAGAGAAAGACAATAATTAAATGAAGTATTGAGGGACATCATAATCTTTGGTTTGGTAGTCACTCAAATTTAATAAAGAATTTTTGCTGATTGATTTTAGATTAGTTTTAGTTATTAGTTTTAATTTTACTTCTCAATAATTAGGTTGTTTAGATAAGATTAAGGTGTTATGATTTTAGTAATTAGCAATTAGGAATTAATTCAATCCTTCATGGAAATGAATTTTATTTCTTATTATATTATTTGTTAATGATACATGCACTTGCATAAGAAATCAACACCAACAATTCACTAAACTTTTATAGAGAGAAGCTAGCTAGTACCACAGAACACATTAATAAATCAAGAATAAAAAAAGCATTAAAATTAGTTGAAAAAGTAAAACATAAAACAAGAAAAGAATCTAAACTCACATTTTTTATACGGTAGATGCAATATCTAAAAAGTGCAACCTTTCCAAATGGTTGTTGACTTCTAAGACTCCATACTCCAGACTACGTCTCCTCCTTTCAAGTTTATTACATAAATATAGTGCCATAGTCCGATCAACTTGAAAGCAATGTTAACATATATAGTTGGGTGGCTGGGAGAATAAAGGAGGATTAGGGATTTGGGATTTGGTCTCTTTAGTTGGAAATTTTTTCAATGGAAGATTGAGCTAAGAACCCCAAACTAGCCAAATTGCTATCGCCAAACTCCCAAAACACCGTTCTAACCAAATTGAAAAAATTGAATTCATTTCGGTTCAATATGATTTGACTCACCCCTAATCTTATATATTGTTAATAATAACATCTAGTACTATTGTTGGATCATATTAAATATTATATAAATAATAGTAATTATAATTTATTTACCATTTTATATATTAAATATATTGTTTATTTCTTCTTTTTGTTCAATTCTTATAATTTTATTTTGTTTATTGAATTATATGGTTGCAACAATTTTTAGTTTTTCTTTTCAACATGCAACTTCGTTACTTTTACCAAACATGTTTAATGCTTTCAAAGTTTTGGCAACAAAGCATTAAATTGTTTTTGAAATGCAAGAAAACATAATCTTTGAAAAAGAAAATAGGAAGCGATACCAAATAGACTTTAATCAATTAATTGCAATTTCAAACTGATATAATATATGAAAAATCTCTCTATATATTTAGTTTGGTCAAAATTCTAGTTTTTAAGATGGTTTATATTAAATTTAAGGATAAAATTGTTGACGATCTACCCTTCTTACATCCACTTTGTTAACCTGCTATTATTGTTGCTTAACTATTTACAAAATGATAATTAAAAATTAAATGGTAGAAAGAAATTAACTTGGTTGATAACCACAATGCATTGATGCTAGCTAGTAATGATAATAAAAAAAGTTGGATTATAATAATTAAACATTCTATTAATTGAACAAATATAATATATATATATATATATATATATATATATGCTGATAAATTGATAAGAAAGAAGAGATAAATCACATTTTAACACTTTTGGAATTGACACTTTTATATAGAAAGAAGAGAATAAATATAAGTGAGAAATAAATTAATGCTATTAAAAAACAAAAACGACTGATTTATGTATCTAAAAGTTATTTATTTGTTTATATATAAGAGGAAGATATCTGAGAATCATGATAATATATTGACTGCCTGCGCCCCACGAGCAACCTTGATGAAGACATCCTCAAGAGTGGTGTCAGCCAAACCCCATGCGAAAACTGTGAACCTGCTCTTTGCATTCTCAACTGCTTGGAATACATCCGCAATTCTCACCTCTTGCTTTGGCAGCTCAAACTTCTGCGTTCCCGATATTTGGTATATCTTGTTAGCACTTGGCGAGAGATGTCGTACCATATGCTCGACTTCTTCCTCATGATTCGCGGATGTTGTCATGGTAAATACATAAGATCCTCCGTATCTAGCCTTCAGCTGTCATACCATATGAACAACAAGCTTAATGCAAAAACAATTTGCACCCATCATTGAGTAACATAGCCTTATGACTTGAAATAGTATAATGGTAAGAATAAATTTGATTGAAAAATCATTCAAAAAAACGGGAATAAGAATAAATTTCATAGTGAAAGACTTGGATGTTTGGCACACATCTGACAAGGAGAATAAGGTACAAAAGAAGCTGTTTTGATTGCAATCTTTCCCTGACTTTGCTATTTTCATGAAATTTAAATAAAGTGGCTTAATAATTTAGAATGAAATTATATGAATGTATGGGTTCCTCGTTAATTAAGATGCAAAAGTTTGGAGGAGTTGAGTGAAAACAATTTATTACAGTTACTAATTAACAAGGTTTCTCACTTGAAAAAGCTAAAGAAAGATGACTTGAAATATTACAGTCAATTAGGACAGAGGCTGATTTCAAAGGTGAAGGACTATGGTGCATGTTTTAACAGCATAAAGCACAAAATAGGCCCCCCTCCCCTCCTTTTTTTGTAATACAGTTAGCCCACATACTCTTTACTTCCCATAGACATGCAATCAAGTATGCCCTGAAAAAAATGATTTTGCACCTTTCCACCCAGATAAATTTTTTTTTATTATTATTATTATTATTAAAAAGATAGTACATAGATATATCTTGATGATAATAGAGAATAGAATTCCCCAGAGAAGTGTTCGATTCACAAACTCTAGTCTACCAATAGGGTCTGTGAGAACCACCATGCAAAAGATGCGAATGAATCTACTGTAGGATATAACTAGAACACCAATTCATGAACGCGAGAAGGTAGGAAAGCTTACCTCTTTAGGATTTCCTATGCACTGCAAGCTGCCATCTACAAAAATCCCTAATCGATCACATAACACCTCTGCCTCTTCCATTGAATGCGCTGCAATCATTCAGATAATATTTGTTGGCATAAAAGGGAAAAAAGTTCTCACCTACCATTAAAAGAAATGTTACAAACACCATTTTCTTCTTTTTATGTAAAAGTGCAAAAAAGAGAGCAAAGCATGCAGAATAGGTTTATGTCTGTAATCCTGAGTCTAGGGTGACATTGATTCAATTAGGCAGATAGAGAGAGAGAGCAATACTGGTGAGAATAATTGCCCTGTCTTTTTTTGCACGTTTCACAACACTCCACAAGCTGTTTCTCGAAGCTGGATCTAGTCCGGTACTGGGTTCATCCATATAGACAACCTTGCAAAATCTCAAATGATTAAGCCTTGAACAGCACTGAGGATAGATGTTTATTAAGGTCTCACATAGAAAAGTGGAGAGACTACAAGTCAATTGTTGACTCTTACCTTGGGATCCCCAATTAGGGAAATGGCAACACTGAGCCTCCTCTTCATACCTCCACTATATTTCCCAGCTTGTTTGTCAGCAACCCCTCCATGGAATAGGTTGACACTCTTAAGAGATTCTTCCACTGCCTGAAGCAAAAACAATGGAATGAAGAAAAAGACTTATAACTTTTTATGTGATGATGCCATTACAACTAAATTGGCCCACATCAACCTAGCTTTCTGTCCTGGACAAACTTCAGTCCAAACAAATGGCTAGTTAGATTCAAATTTAACAAGGTCCACACTTGACACTTTTAATAAATATTGGAAAAGATTATATGAAGTTCTAATAGAAGAGTCTCTAGAGTTTACAGTTAAAATTAACCCATGAGCGTCAAATTCTCCAAGTAAAATCCATGACAATCACAAAATATAGATAATTTTGACTTACTTGATTCAACGCAGAACCTCTGAGGTTCTTCAACCTGCCATAAAATAGCAAGTGCTCCCTCCCTGTTAGGGTTTCCCAGAGCAGGCTGATTTACAAATAATAAAACAAAATAAGAAACTTATTTGTTTCAAGGGAAAATAATTTGTTTCTTGGCAAAAGGAAGTGTTATATCCTACTCATGCTGGGGGCAAACACCCATGCTTGTATAGATTGTATCCATATAAGTCCGTATATCCAGACCCTGAACATATGCTGTCCCCGAGGTTGGTTTTGTGAGCCCAATCATCTGACAACAGAATAACACTTAAATATTGCAAAGAAGGTACCAGCTAGATTAGGTTCTAACTTTAAAAGATACAGGCAGGTGTACGACCAAGTAAATATCACTATCATCTTAGATAGCAATAATCCCTATATAGAAAAATTTTGGCTAAAATTACTTTTGGGAAAAGAAAGTAGATCCTAACACACAAGATTTCATTTTCAACCCCTCATATTACAGAACAAGCATGTGAGCCTGCAGTCACATGTGTGCATAAAAGAGCTATTTTGAAAGCATAAAAGTTCTATTTTTTTAAAATAAACTAATCATACACTACCATATTGATTAAAGAAGTCTTGCCAGCACCATTGGGTCCCAGCATGCCAAAGCACTCCCCTCTAGGCAAAGCAAGAGACAATCCTCTTACTGCAAATTTCTCAGGATTTCCATCCCTTGCAGGATATATCTTTTTAAGGTTGTCACAAATGATGGGATGACTAGTGCTTGGTTCAAGTAGCAACTGCTCAACCTTCTCCCTCTGCCAAAACAAAAAAAATTCTTCATACAAATGAATGAATCCAACGACATTGACCTAAATACATAACACTTTGAAACACAAATACTAAGCTACAGCTGCACAATGCTTAATGAATGCATAATGAAATAGTTTTATTTTGAGATGGACCCACATCACATTAGATAAAAACATAAAATGTAGAACGATACTCTTAGTAAGCACATCTGGAGAAAATTACTAGCACTAGCTGCACGAAAATTACAAGAGGTGGAACCCAAAGCCTCAGGTAGACATTTTCTACTCCATAAAGGCATAAAAGTCCAACAATATAGCCATCCTTTCTTGCACATTATATTAACTAATTAAAGGAGCATAAACAGTTATGTGTGGAGGTTAATGAAAATAGCGAAAAAACAAAAAATTAGAACTTCCTCAGAAAGATGTGGATGGTCAAACTGTTTTCTTTTCTAACATAAGAATTAATAGCATAAAATAAATCCCTCTCTGCTAGTGAGTGAAAAACCAGTCTTTCTGCTAGTGAGTGAAAAACCAGTCTTTTGGCAGACTATCCATCTATTAAGTGGTTGGTGATCACTAACCCCTTCAAAAAAATCTATCCTTAAATGAGAATATGCATTCAAAAAAGCCAAAGAAAAGAAAAGATGTTACCTCCTGATTAACATCAGGTTTGTCCATCTGAACAAAAACTTTTGATCCCAGCCCTTCCAAACTAGGCCTCCGAAAAGATGATGAAGGCTTTCTCCGGAAGTTTTGCAAGAAAAATAGAGGACTCTTCCCAGCACCTGAAGATGAAACCTGATCTACATAATAAGCAACCAAAAGCACCACCAACCACTCGGTGAAAGTGATAATCAAAACCTCCCTCATCCCATTTGTGCTATCACTCAAATCCCCCCACCGCATCCCATCTGTCCCCATATAATTTCCCCTGAAAGAATATTGTCCAAACTCATATAATCCACGAAACAGAGAGAATCCAGGATATAACTCCATTGTGATAATCCAGCCTCCTACAGCAAATAAAAAATGAGTTTTGCAGTAAGTAGGGTGAAGGTACAAGTGAAGATGACAGAAGTTGAAAGACCAACTAATGATCAAAAGCAATACCAGCTTATCAACTATGCCTGAACCATGCACTAGATTAAGCAGGTGACTATATTTTTACACCCTTTCATGAGAAAGAATTAAAAATAAATAAAACAAGATTACCTCCAACAATGGAGCCTTTATTTTGAGAAACAAGGATTTCAACCCACACCAAACCTGCCTATTTTTCCACATTCAGTTCAACTATATGACAACTACAAGTAATCTATAAGTGAATAACCTCTTCGAATCTTAGTTAAATGAAAACAATGATAAAATTTCTAAAATGCATTCCAACTCTTCTAAGTTTATAGAAGCCTAATTTATGATTAGCCTGGGCCCTGGGGTTGAATTCATTTCTTGATTCGTTACTAATAATCACTACTTCCCACATTCAGTAAGTCCACAATGGTGTCTACACATATGAGGATACATCAATAAGCAGTATTGATGCCAAAGGAACTGGGTCTGCCAATGTATTTTTTCTTTCCTACTGCCATCTCCTTTCCCAAAAATTTTCCGGGAACAAAATTAAGTGCTAAAAGTAGTTTTTCCTCTGGCTGCAAACCATTAGCTTCTTTAAAAGTCATCTCATAAAAATACTTAGTTTCCTTTGACAAATAGTTCCTGTGGTCTAAACAGAGAATGACCAAGCTTGCAAACATAAAAATTTCATTTTTTATAATTTCTTAAACTTACTTGGGAATGATTCATCCTCAATGAAGGACTGGAAGAGAAAGCCACCTAAAAGTCCCGTTCCAAAGACAATTATGTATCCAATTACTGTAATCATTGACAAGCAGTCATGAGAAATAAGTCAGTTAAATAACCTTTAAAACAGAGTAGAGGTTTGCCAACTAGCTCAAGTAAATCAGAGAGCTAAGATAAACCTGAAGCAGTCTTAACATTTGTAAACATTGCAGCTACAAGGAAAGCCATGGAAATTTGCAGGTTTACGTAGATGAAGTAAAATACAAACTGGATACTATAATCGTTGAGTGTGAAGAATTTCAACCCTGGAAGGAAGTCAAACAAATTAAAGAGCAGCTTGAAGTATAGATAATTAAAGAGGAGTTCAATGACTAGATTAGTACCTATGAGTGAGCCAAATATCACAAAACATAGCATGTACAGCGAAGAGATGACCAGAAAATAAGCATAAGATATCATCCAATAAGGTCCATCACCAAGCCCGTGCATTTTCATCATGACTCGTAGTTTCTGTTGTTTCTCATATACTAGTGAAGTCAACACCACCTACATTGAAAACCAAAATGTTGAGACATAATTAACACAATATACTATAAAATCATCAAGATATTAACCAAAAGAGATCATAATCAACCTCAAGAGAGGAAAATTGCTACTATAGACCTTTCTAGATAAAATTTTGCACTATGTTTACACATATCAAATAAAGTTTGTTCCCAAGTTTATAAGGCAATGCTGAAAGTCCATGAGTAAAACATAGACCTGTTATCCAAAAGTCTTAGTATAGAGGAGAGGTAAACAGGAAGGAATCTTGCATAAAGAACTGCCTGATTAGATTTTTCTCACTTAGCGTATGCCTTCACACGAAGAAAAGTGGAGCACTGACTATAGTACTCCATGTCAATTTGCAAAGAGAGCCCTTTATATATTCTGTTTATAAAACAACATGACCCAAATATTCTCTTGGCCCTTCTATCTAGAACCAGAATATAATCTTACTTCATATTTGTCTTATAAATTATCGCTTAGAATTGCAGATGTCTGCATGTTGTGCGTGTTCATAACTGCTATAACCAGTGAATTTATGGTATGACTCAGAAGTCAATGAAATAACTGATCCAAGTATATTGCAAAAGAACTGCAATTTTTTAATCTTAGAAACAGAACATAATCTTACTGCATTGTTGTATTCCAATTATTGCTTAGAATTGCAGATCTATGCATATTGTGCCTTGTTAATAACTGCTATAACCAGTGAATTCATAGGATGACTCAGAAGTCAATCAATAACTAATCCAAAGATATTTCAAAGAAATTCCTCTACCCAAATTAGAATTTAAATTTGATTACAAAAATTTTACTATCAAATAATTATGCCAAGAATGTGTGATGATTTTAATGATGATCGACTTGCTATAGAAGTCATAATATTAGAAAATTTGCACACACTATACTGTAGTTAAAGAATCGACACCAATGAAAAAGAAAAAAATACTTACAGGGAATAGTTGTAAAACAACCCAAGTAAAGAAGAGTGTTCCAAGAAGAGATGACAAATCAATCCTGAGTTCAGTTTCAGGTTTTGGCATTTCTTTCACAAACTCTAATAGCATTTTTGTACCAGCCCCTTGCAGAAACTGAAGGTAGGCATTGGATGCCTGTAAATGTGACAATAGAAAAATATCAGTCTCTACAAGCTTTTGATCAATAAGCAAATTAATAGATAAATTTGTCAAATACACAGGCTGCAAGAAATAAGCAAGAAATTTTATAAAGAGGAGCACATTATAATGCAAATTGTATAACATATTTGGACCATTGAGGCAACCCTATTCTTTCAAGGCACTGATTAAACCAGAATGCCAGGTGCTTTATATAGAATATAAAGTATAATGCATAACAGAATTCAAAAAGTCAAATATAATGGAAAAGGATTCTATTAGTGCCTGGAAGGAACCAACATAAGCCAATTACATGATTTAAGATATTTCTTTGTAAAAATATTTGCCATGTTTTGCCACAAAAACAGGTAAGATGAAGGCTCTCTAACAACAGCATCAGAAGTGCCAAATAATCATGGCTAGAGGATATTCCAATAGAAACTCATGGGGATGCATTCCACCACTTTTCTCCAGAAGATGAATGATTACCTACAATTACTAAATAGAGTGGAACATGTTCTACTATCCAATTACGAAAGCATGCAAATATTCTAGAAAAGAAAACAATAATGAAACCAGAAAGTGAAAAACAACTAAAAATAGCGACTATGAACTATTGATCTCTCAATCCTAAACCAGGTAAGAGCCATATGTGGAGCACAATTGAATCTGTATAAGAGTTCCCAGTTTCCTAACTGCTTAGTCAAAACAAATTTATCCAGCTAAACATTTCCTGCTAAGTGATATTGGTAGATGGATTGCAACAATCTTATCTGCCAAGACTGCGCAGAGTATTACAAAGAGATACCACCTCTGGTGTGCTTGAGAAATCAATCCACATCATATCAAAGAGTATAGTCTTCCGTGTATATTTTAATATGGAAAGTTATGATGCATGGGATTAAGATTCTGCCAAGATATTGATGGTTTAGAATGGTTCTTATAGGTGCCTTCATCCTAACTCCTAAAATCTTTTCTGTCACTCCTTCAATATACAATTTTCTATTTTTCAGGTAAGCAAGATTAAAACTCTAAAATCTTACCCCAACCCTTTTCTTTACTAATCTAGAGAATTATTTTTGCAGAACCATTTTAAAGATACATGAGATTCTAAGATTAATTCCCCACTGTAAGCTTAGTAATAACAAAGTAATATGACAAGGAGGAAAGCTCACTTCAGCAAGTTCAAAATACATACCAGATTTACAGACCGGGGGATCCGCAGCAATGACATTGGACTGCCAGCTGAGTAATTCTTATAGGTAGAATTGTACCAGACGCTCATATTAAAATTATTGCCATCTGAGTTCAAGAAATCATATGCTGTGGAAAAGATAAAAACGTCAGTATTTTTCTCTACCACATGTACTTTTATGTAAATTAGATGATATGATACAATTAATTTTTGAATTTTCGGCTAGACCAACCTGCAACAAACTCATTTATCTTCTCTTCTGGGTTCCCTTTTCTGTAACCTTTATACAGCTCAGCATTCACCTCAGAAGAACTATTGCGCCATAGGTATAAACCTTGTACACATCTTATCTCTATAGTCAATGAAAAATTAACGAGATAAGCAAAAGATTCAGAATCTTCCTGAAATAATATTTTAAGTAACGTTGTAGTTTACTTTTAAATAAAAGGTAATATTTTATGGTAGAACATGCAAGAGCCATCAACGATTAGATTTTATGGTAAATCAAGGTAATATTTTTGGATAAATTCCAAAAATTGAATCTCTAAAATAAATGAGCCATTCTAAAACATTAGATTTGGAAAAAAACTCTGGTTTGGGATAAACTTGAGGTTTGCTGATTATCAAGAAGATAATAATAAATCAGGCAAAAAGAAGTTAAATAGGCAGAGTTTGACCTTCGAAATCTCAAAGCAATAATGTAGTATAAATTACAGCATCTGTCAATGAGTTTTCCACAAACCGCATAATTTAAATGACTCTAAAATGGAGTCAAAATGTTTGACACAAACCTATGAGTCTAGAACCTGCCTACCACTGTAACAAATTTGTACGTGGTTAAATTAAGAAAAGAATATGAAAAGTGCACTAGCCATACGAAAATAAGAGAATCGTAAAATTAACATAAGAATGACCTATAACTCTTTCAATTAAATTGATGACATTGGATGTCTGAGAGTAATTGAAGGTAATTAGCTTACATATTGATAATTTCTACTAGGCTTTCTTCACGTGCATAATGTCTATTTCAATCAGTAGGTTTGAATCAGATACTGTACACTTAATCAATATATGTTTAAAGTTTGGAACATTTAAATACCCACATCCAGAATTTTTTCCATTAGGTTTTTTTGATTCTCTACATGACCACGCCCAATATTCTTGAAATTTTTCATTATTACAATTCAACTAGTCCATGCATGCAATCTCATCCATAGAACAAGAAAGAAACCTGCATTTAATTTGAGAAAGTTAAGATTCCTTGAGAAAAAGCATAGTACCTATTTCCCTTGTTATGGATGGTTGATTGATGAGAATAGAAAATGTTGAGTTCGATGAGCACTGGCTTTGAACATTATAAATGGGAAGAGCCGAAGCAAAAGCAGGTTCAATATAATTGTAACCCTCAGGATATGTTTCTGTACCCTGAAACATTTTGGGAAGCCAAGTAGCAGACAAATTATAAAACCAAAAGAGGAGAAGCAAGATTATGATTTCAGATTCTAAGTCCTTGCCAAAATCATAAACAGAAAAATCAGCAATTGCATGAAAGTGGAACAGAAGAAAAACGATGAAAAAAACTTACCAGGACATCAGTGGCCAAACTGCCTAAAAGATCAGAGGAATTTATATTGAAAGAAGTTGAGAACATACTCCCCGTCAAAACTGCCAAAATGAGCAGAAGAATTTTATCTGATTTTCATCTTCCACTGTGATAGTTTAGTTTAAAGCTGAAGAAACTGAAGTCTAAGCTTAAAATACAGGGAAAGAGAAGAAGCAAGATGCATACTTTCTCCAAGTGATTGATTATTCCCCGTGAAAAATGTAGTTGCAGGACAAGACCCTGTACTTTTGCAAGACTCATTTGGCAGGTCTGCAGACATAACTAAATCAGTTCTCACTGCACGATAGTTTGGCCCTGGAATTTGTAAAAGTGCAGGCCATCCCGGAGGGTTAGGAATTGGACAACTCGACGCTTGATCCATTGTTGAGTACTGTAACCCACATTCTCTCCTCAGGCATTGACCATTTCCGCTTGCTTCAACACAAGCACACCCACAGCGATTATCCGCATTGTTTAGTTGACTGTCCACCAATTCTTGCAACAAAACAAACAGTATACAGAAAAAAAGTGGGAAGGAAATCAGCCGAATATTTGTCCCCATGTTCCTTTTCTGCAAAATAGAACAGACGATATAATTATCAAAATCTATAAATAACAAGAGCCATTGTGTAATTTTGAAAATTCATTCCTATTTGATAATTACATCTCTCTTAAAAGAGTGAACTTTCAACTCTATAGGAAATGCATGTCAGTATTAATGATTCTCATAAGGGTTCATATAAAACATACACAGGAAGATGAAAAGAGGAAGAGAAGAAAGTATTAGCCCAAAAAGCCTATAAAGTGCATAGGCAAATGAAGCACTGACCATAAATAATCAATTAGTGATCTGATTCCATAAAGAAAAATTGAGAAATAATAAGGAAAAAGGAATCAGTAATCACCCCACCAAATAAAACCATCCCATAATCAACAAATGAAAAAGCGAACCCAACGAGAGATACAAAGCACAACCCGTAAAAATAAAAAAATAAAAAAAATGGCATAAAATTTACTCGGACCCAGAATTTGTTTCTTTTCATTTTCCAAGTTCCATTAGGAAAAAGAAACTTCCATTTTCTCAACAACAAAACCAAGACATGTTCTAAAAAATAAATCGAAAAGGAGAAAACTTGAGTGAGACCCACCTGGAAAGTTAGGTTCTTTCTGAGAAGAGCGTTTGCCTGAGCCCAGAAACTGGATGGACCAAGTGTCGGATGATGATCCGCCATTGATACAACACAATACGTTAAGCTTTCCCGCCAAGATGGAAGTTTTATTTTTCTCTTTTTTTTTTTTGCTTTTCTTGGTGTTGGTTTTATTGAAATAGAAGTCTCAAAATTCTTACAAAAAAAAGAGAACAATCTCCTTTGCTGTGCTTTGAATAAATAGGAGCTCAAGCCTTCAAGCCACAACCAGGCATCATATAGGCCTTCGTTTCTCTGCTGTTTCGCTTTTCCGACTGTCCAGCAAAGAACCACTGACTTAGGACTAAATTACTGAATTGTCCCCATATTAAGGGATTTTAACGATTTCCCGGCATTTTTTAAACTTTCTGCCTAAATTACCCCTGGTTGAATGACTATTGCACCCTTCATGTGTTTTGACTCTTTCTCGGGGTTGCTCGTTCAAAGTCCAACATGCCCTTGGTCCAATCAAATTAGGGGGCGGTCCTGAATTAAATATCTTGAAAATGTAAGCCATTGGTTCAACACCATATCTTGTTCACTAAGTAAAGATTAAAATAATAATAATAATAATCAAATGAAAACAAGTAACTCGTTGATTATTTTAATTAATCCGATATCACAAGTGGTCAATGTTATATGAATTTCAAGTTTATGACTGTTTTCCATCACCCCCACATAATTAACTTGATATAGTACCATATGGTCAAAACTTGATCAAGTATTAAAATTAAATTAATTCCACATTCAAACTTAGAAACACATTTAAAACCATCCAATAGCAACGTTTAAACAAGTCAATTCCCTTGAACAGTGTGAAATTTGAAGGGGAAAGGCAGCCTCTCGGAAGGCACTCATCATGCAAAGCCTAAGCACTCCGGGATAAGACAATGACAGGGGAAAATCCAATAGACTTTTACAAAGAACCTGACAAAACAGGCCAAATATCTCCAAGCAAGCATCTACAACATTGTTATCAGTATAATAATGAGATAATGGTTTATAGCTCAAAGTTCAAACTACAAAACACAAGCAAGGAAAGACAACATATATAAAATCAAAATTTTTCCTTCCCATGACATCATCTCTCAGTTTTAAACTTCTAAGCATTTTAAACAATGTAATGAGGTGTTCATTTGAATTTGACATTTTCAAAAGCAAGTGTATTCTTTACTTGTGGCACAGATAATGACAAAGGTTCCAATGACAACTACTATTACATGTTCTTGGATGCATACCTGAAATGTATGCAAAACATCATCTACACCATACAAAAAACATGGTCCAAAACCAGAGTTGGAGTCTACGTGTTTTTGCAATCCAAATGCTACACTTACACATCGTTCTCACACATAGCACGAGGAAAATTCGTATGTATTAAGGATCTGCAGCTGAAACAAGGATGTGAGTTCATAATAGGAAAATCAAAGATAGTATCAAAGTCACTTCAATCCCAGGTCTCAAAACATGTACCTAAACATGAAAGAAAAACATAGGAAACTTAAGCATTTACAGAAGCAGAGATAGCAGCACATAGAGCAAAACTGATACAGGGATGATTCCAAAGGATTATTCATAGTATTAATACATTGATCCACTGATTTAGGGCTCAGTCAGTTCATTCTATGGTGGAAGACTGGATTTTAGGATGCATTCTTTCTGATGAATTATATTAATACTCAAGGAGATTGACTTCAGAAATACATCAGCACACTGTCTTAGTAGGAAATTGTAATAAACGAATTTCAAGCAGAAACTTTCATTTAAAATAATCTCAACTGTTTAATGACAAAGGAAATTACTTTTACTGGTGGAAAAGCCGGTAATTCAAAATCTCCAACATCATGTGCAAAAGAAAAGTATTATATCAAAATACAAACATGATTAGTACCAATGTTTTAACAAGGATAACTATCAAGTCTTAAGGAAAGAGAATTTCAAAAAAGGAGAACACGCAGAAATCTCTTCACAGAAGAAGCCAAGTGCTTTTCTGGCGACATTCTTTCTTCTTGCCTCTTCATGGTCCATGATCCTTGTGGATGTTGTGAGCACATTATACCCAAAAGAAGAACAATAAGATAATATTGATTGTACTAATAATTACTATAATAATAGGTGATCCAAACCCAAAAAAGTTTAGCCACTATTATATTATGGTTAAATAAAGTGATCCTATTAAAGAGAGGGGGAAACGGGAGCAGGGGATTTGTCAACAGCAAAAAGGTGCCTTGAACTATTGCAGCATTAGCAAGCATTCTGTAAAATTCTTGAGAAATCTATCAGAGTGAAAAAGAAGGGGCACCTCCAGCTTGGCGGTGAAGCTTCTGCCTTTCATACGACTTGCCACTAGTTCAAATACTCCTGCCACCACTTGCACTGATGCTTGTACAAAAATAATCTGAGAGAAAACTTGAACTCTTTCAACAGCACAAAACAATAATCACTTGTATTATTACAAGCAGCATTTATCCAACTCCTCTAGGATGGGTAAATTTTCAACCAAAGCAGTATCACTTATAGTCATCGACTGAATCATTCCAAGAATTAGTTCTGCTTAACATGGTGAAGAACTCCTAATCCTCAAGCTAATGACACTACTTCTAGAAAGTTGGATTTCAATATAAATATTAAAACATGTCTATTGCATCTCAGGTATCCTAATCTGGACTTACCAAAAGCAGACACCTCTTCTTGTTGCCAGGTCAAGAAGCCCCTTACACACTTTTGTCTGTAGCGGCATTATCTTTTATTTCAATTTGTGCATAAAATGGTCAACCAATCAAGACCCTCTTTCAATTCCATTTCATTCTTTTTGTTTTTTAGGAGGGACAACAAAATCAAAGATTGTCCTAAAATTTTTTGAAGTACAACCCGCAACAACTATAACAGTTTCACTAGCAGGCATCATCTGATTAGGAAGAGAATCACTAGATGTCTAAGATAAAATCTACATCAGAATGTGCATATATTGACTGCACAGCCAATCCATCAACAATGCTGCAGACCTCACTTGATCTAGGGTGAAATGTGTCACCAACTAAAAATTTATGTACTGTGTTATCCAGTTCTATCCAACTATAAGCAGCCACTTTCTGCACTCTCTTATTCTTCATCAAGTTCCGCACTTCCAATGCTGCTTGCCATCTGCCCAAACTGGCATATATATTAGAAAGGAGAACATAGTGCCCAGGATTCTCAGGCTCGAGCATTAGCAACTTCTCAACACAGAGCTCAGCAAGCTCAACATTCAAGTGGGTTCTAGAAGCACTTAACAACGTACCCCATATCACCACATTGGGCTGCATTTCCATTCTACATACCAACTCATAAGCTTCATTTAATCTTCCAGTTCTACAGAAGAGGTCTACAATACAGGCATAATGTTCTATCTTTGGTTCAATGCTATAATGTAATTCCATGCTTCTAAAAAACTCAAGACCCAATTCAACAAGGCCTGTTCGACTGCAGGCTGTTAATAACCCCACAAATGTTATACCATCTGGTTTTACTTCACTTTCTTTCATTTTCTCATAAAGCAATATTGCATCCTCTGCAAAACCATTAACTGCTAGACCAACAATCATTGAATTCCAACTAACAATGTCTCTCTCAGGCATCTTATCAAATACTTGACGAGCTTTAGCTATGTTTCCAAACTTGGAATACATATCCAATAATGCTGAGGCCACATAAACATTTGACGCCAGATCTTGAGTTTCTATGTAGGCTGCAAGGCACTCACCAGCTTCTACAGAACCCAGCTGAGAACAAGCTGATAGAACACTAACTAGTGCAACATCATTCGGTCTAATCTGCTCTTTTTTCATGCACTCAAAAAGCTCTAGAGCCTCTGTTGCTCTCCTATTTTGTGCATAACCAGAAATCATGGCACTCCAAGCAAGAGCATCTCTTGTACGCATCCGATCGAATTCTTCACGAGCTTCATCAATAGCCCCACATTTCACAAACATTTTCACTATTGCAGTTAAAACTATAGTATTTACACAAATGTTGCTATCAGCAATAAGCTTCTTAACTTTCAACCCCAATTTCAAATCTCTGAGCTTAGCAGTCAGAGAAAGTAAAGTCACCAAAGTAATTTGACTGGGAGGGATGTTGTTAGCTTGCATTCTTTCAAAAATTTCCAAAGCTTTGTCATGATAGCCATTGTTCACATAACACGAAATCATGGAATTCCAAGATGCAACAGTTTTCTCTTTCATCTCATCAAACAAACACTCCGCTGCCATTACATCACCAATCTTAGAATACCCAGAGATCAAACAATTATAAAAAACAGGATCCTTAACCAAAATCCCATCAAAAATTTTCCTTGCCGAAAAGAAATCACCTTTCTTTGCATAAAAATCCATCAAAGCACTCTGAACATAAACATCTAAATCAAACCCATAATTTACCAGTAAACCATGAACCTGTTTCCCCACAGAAACACCTGAAAACCCCGAACACGACTTAATAACAGCCAAAACAGCACGACTACTCATCTGGGTACGACTGCTATGCATCGAAGCAAATAGTTTTATAGCTTCTTTATTCAAAGAAAGTTTGGTGTAACTTGAAATGAAAGAGATATAAAGAGCTTGATCTGGCAGAGGAATTCTATCGAATACTTCACGAGCGTAGCCAAGAAAAGACGAATCAATGAGTTTTCTGACGAGAATGCGAGTTAGAGCGGCGCAATTTACGATGATTTGAGAGTGGATTTGCTTGAATTGGTTAAGTCTGACGGAAGAGTGAAGTAAAGGAAGCAAATTTGGATTCATTCGGGTTTTTCTTTACGAGGAGAAATGAGTTGGGTTTTAGTAGTATTTTATGGGTCGTTGGTTCATGACTAGCCGTTGCCCAGAGAGTCGAAGACCATAAAACAAAGTGGCGGGAATCCCAGTTGCGAAACGATGGAGTAGGTTCTCACAAAAGTAGTCAAAATGCGTATTTATCTTCGATATAGCAAAATACCTGTACTTATCTTAAAGCACTATAATAAGGTTATAATATTTTTTATAAAAATTTTTGAATTATTTAAAAAAATTTAAATAAATAAATTTTTATTTTAAATTAAATAAATTTTTAAAATTAATAATTATTTATTATCATTAAATAAAATATTATTTATCTTTTTATATAAAAATGTGAACGATAAAAATATTATTTTAATAATATTATTATATCACATCAATATATCTATCATGTCATCTATTATCATATATCAATAGGATACATTAATATTACACAATATAAATATTATTAAATATTTTAAATTATAATAATTAATTAATTTTAAATTATAATAAAAAAGTCTAAATTTTTTTTAATTGTAAATTTTTTTATACAAGAGTGTAGTTACCGTTTTGATAGGGTAACACGTGATGACTAAAGCTATGTCAAAAGTTTTTGACAAAACCTTAAGTCAAGAACCTAAGCAACTTCATGTAAGTTAGGTACAAATTTAATACTAATAATCAAAGCGGGTAGTTAAAATTAAGTAAATGCTCAAATTATTGGTTAATAATAATAATAATAATATGGACAATCCTATATGGAAACTCATTTTCAAACATTGGTAAATTTTAATTCTGAATTTTATTAATCAAGGTAAGACAACAAAAGCTTTTAGGATATTTTGTCCATCAAATGCCAAAAACTTAAATGTCAATGCTTATCGATTAACACCAACTTTAGATTTCCTTTGAATTTTTTCTTTGGCGCGAGGTACCTTTCAAGAAAAGACTCAAACAAACCTTTGAAGCGTGAACCATATGATTTGTCTGTCTACCGTGCGGCTTTGTTTGACTAAGACATTGATTTGATGCAGGCATTTCCCGGCCCTCTCCTCGTCAAATTTCAACAGTCCAATTTGCCAACCGCTGCGTTGTTTTGTTTCGTTCAGACAAAACGCTTCGGACAAATCAAATTAAAATTTTGGGGCAAACGGTTGGCTTATAGCACAAGTAATTATAATTCTTTTAAAAAATATAAATAACGATAATTTGACCATTGTCCAATTTTTTTGGTTAAAGCGGTTTTTCCCTACAAGTCCACTTTTCTCATTTTCTTCGATATGACCAAACTGCCCTCCTTCAATTTAATTGTCTTTGACCAGACTACCCTTTTGGCTTTGAAAGCGATGTCGTTTGAAAAGGGGTGGTTCTGTTCCCACTGTCCAAGCATAGAATAATCCCATCGCCTGTACGACGGAAGCAATATCCGTGCAATTTTAGTATGTTAATAACGCGAGTTATTGGAATAAGCTTGTGAGAAAGTGCGTATTTAATTTTTTTTCAACAGCTGTATAATATTTTATTTGAGATTAATTATTTTATTTGCTTAAGGTAGACTATAGTTTAAATTCCAGTTAATCAAGCAACTTAACCCATTAATTAAGTGGGCAGCAGGATATCAACTTTACCAAGCACAAAGATTTCTCCTATATAAACTTCCAAGAAGATTCCTTCAAATAAAAAAAATTTAAAAAATAGATGAAAATTTCAAGAAATCCGGCCAGTGGCAAAACCGAAAATATCTTAAACTCTAAGGCCATTTATCCTCCCTCTACTCTATTACATAACTACCAAAAACCGCGCTTTTCTCAGCTGTTTTATAAATCCAACAAGTCTAACAAGGTCACATAAAAATCAAATAAAAAACCCAAAAATATTAAAATTAAATTTGTTTTCAAAAGAAAAAGGCCATGAATTTGCAGAGAGGATTTGCTCTGCTTTACCAGCAATTCAAAGCTTTGATAAAGAAGAATCTGTTACTCTCATGGAGGAACAAGAGAGCGTCGTTTCTCCAGCTCTTCTCGTCGCTCTTCTTCATTTTCCTCATCTTCTGTATCCAGGAATCCACCGATGCTCGAAACGCCAACTCCACGGCGTACGAGGTGCTTCGAGACCCCAAGCCCTTGGTGGCTCCTGCTATCCCTCCCTGCGAGGACAAGTTCTTTGTCAAGCTACCTTGCTTCGACTTTGTCTGGAGCGGGAATGAGAGCCAGACTTTTGACAGGATTGTCAGAGCCATTAGAGAGAATAACGCCGGCAGACCCATTCCCGAGAGTAAGGTATAGTATGATTCCATATGCTTTCAACGAATAAGAATTATGTAAAGATTACAATTTGAACGGAAAGGAAATGCTTTTGGCAGTCCAAATATGAAGTGTATGGTAACTAAACAAACAAATTTACGTTTACTTCTTATCTTAATTGGTGATTTATCAAGTAGGGAATTTAATTAGGATTGTGTTCTCTTTTTTGCAGGTTAAATCGTTTAGGACAAGTGGTGAAGCTGAGGAATGGCTTTTCAATAATCGAATGCATGTCCCTGGAGCTTTGCATTTTGCACAAGTCAATGCAAGTGTTATAAGCTATGGCTTACAGACTAATTCTACTCCACTTGCAAAACGTGGGCAATTTGAAGATCCCACACTAAAATTTCAAGTTCCACTTCAGGTTGCTGCAGAGCGAGAAATCGCTAGGTCATTAATTGGAGGTACTAAGTGCTCTTTTTAATAAAGTTTAATTCGCGTAAGGTGATTTGTTTTTCTTTTTATTATAATAATGTTCTTGGTATTTTCATTTTTCTGAATGCTTGTGCAGATCCAAACTTTAGTTGGACTGTTGGACTCAAGGAATTTCCCCACCCTGCAATGGAAACGCTTTCTGCTTTGGCTCTTGTTGGACCAACTTTTTTCCTTGCGATTGCAATGTTTAGTTTCGTTTTTCAGATTGGTTCGTTGGTCTCAGAGAAAGAGCTCAAGCTTCGACAGGTCTTGAATTACTATTGTTTAAATTGAGGTTAGCATATATGAATGATTCTCTTTTTTGACTTTCTGTTTCTTGCCAACAGGCCATGACTATGATGGGTCTTCTTGATTCTGCCTATTGGTTATCATGGCTCACATGGGAGGGAATCATGACACTTCTATCATCACTCTTCATAATTCTCTTCGGAATGATGTTTCAGTTTGATTTTTTCTTGAACAACAATTTTGCCGTTATCTTCCTTGTTTTCTTCCTTTTCCAACTCAACATGGTAAAAACATGTACCTTGATCTTTACTGAACGTTGTTCTTGTTTACACTTTTCTATGTTTGTTTTCTACTCGTAGTTGAGTAAATGTAGTTTTAACATATTAACTCTTAATTTGTCATTTCTGATGCTTGATGGCAGGTTGGTTTTGCATTCTTGCTGTCACCCTTCATTAGCAAGTCATCTTCCGCCACGACAATTGGTTTCTCCATTTTTATTGTTGGCTTTTTTACTCAGGCAGTGTTCCTACTCTAAACTTCTAGAATTGGAATTATAAGTTCAATTATATTTATGGATCTTCATTTCTTATTGCAGATTATTACTTCAAATGGATTTCCATACGATAAAAGCTTCAGTCAAGCTCTTCAAAATGTCTGGTCGTTGTTCCCACCTAATCTTCTTGCTCAAGCTCTAAGGCTTCTATCTGATGCTACTTCCTCTCCTGAAGACATTGGAGTTAGCTGGAGTAGACGAACAAAATGTGCACCAAATGATGAGCAGTGTGTGATAACAATTGTATGTCCACAGTGCAAAATTGAAAGTTTACTGCTGACAGTGTTTCACACTACATCTTCCATAGACCAGTCACTTCCCCTTTCCTTTTTGTCTTCTTTGTTCCCCTTTTCAGTTTCCTTCTTTCTTCAGGCTGAAAATTTTCACGAAAGTTTTTGGATTGTTGAATCATTGTCATTTATTCCATCTACTTTTCATGTTCTTGACAGAATGACATCTACATATGGTTGGTGGCTACATTTTTAGTGTGGGTTGTTTTGGCTATCTACTTTGATAATATAATTCCAAATGCATCTGGTGTGAGAAAATCAGTATTTTACTTTTTGAGGCCTGGGTATTGGACAGGGAAAGGTGGAAAGGAAAAAGGTATTTGGATTCTAAATTTGACCTATAGTCAAGAATTTTTCCTGTTGAACTAATGTACCTAACTTAAAGTTTTATTGCCTTCTCTTCATAGAGGGTGGCATTTGTAGTTGTATAGGTTCAGCTCCACCAGTGGAGCATGTTACTCCTGATGACGAAGATGTCCTTGAAGAGGAAAACCTTGTTAAAACACAAACAAGGGAAGGTTCAGTTGATCCAAATGTTGCAGTGCAGATACGCGGTCTTGCAAAGACATATCCTGGATCTAGGAAGATCGGTTGCTGCCGTAAATGCAAGAAGACTTCACCATACCATGCTGTTAAGGTAAGCAATCCCCCTTTCAGCCTTAGTATTCTGCACAGACTAAGAAGGTATTCTTTTTTCACCCCATGTTGTTCAAATATTAGTGCCAGAACCTAGAAGATCTTGCTCTTTCAATACACTATGTTCCCTAATATACATTTTAAAGGGGATTTCTTGGCCCAGTGGCATGATGTTGGGTCATCTCTGTTGTGGATGGTAAGAGTTATTTAATTTGTTTGGATTTAGGATGCTAGGGCCCTTTTTGAGAATTGCTTGAGTCAGAAGTCATGCAGCACATCACTGTGGCTCCTAAGGGATGTTCTTCCCAGACTATATATTTTTTTTCTTTACTATTTTCAACAAGTCTTTGCCCAGTATAGCAACAGTTACTGAGTATCATCAGCAAGGCAAGAGATGGAAAATGAATGTGGATATGCATTTAGATTTATGTCTATAAGTGGATATTTACATAAATTCCGCTGCTTACTTGTAAACTTGTCTTCAGGGCTTATGGGTGAACTTTGCAAAGGATCAGTTATTTTGTCTTCTCGGACCCAATGGTGCTGGAAAAACCACAGCAATCAATTGTTTGACTGGCATAACACCAGTGACTAGCGGAGATGGTAAGATGCCTTGTTCCTGAACTCTTTCCTCTCGATCATACAATTTCTTGGAG